AAACCCTTGTAGATGGTGTTACGTGCAATCGCATGCGGTGATACAAGATCTCACCAGATATGTTGCAGCTTGGAATATGTTTCAGGAACAATGCTTAGTTACTACCACATCAGATTTTATTTTTAAATTTGACTGACTGTTGTAGCTCGACAATAAACAATTGTATCGTCTGCATAGAGATGTAAGGAGGCGTCAGGAATGACTGAGTTATGTTTTTTTTTTTAATCTTAGCTGTGGTATCCATTTGGACCCAGGGTGTTTCCAAAAACCAATCAGTTGTAGAAGTTTATCCACACAGACAAAAACACATTTGTACTTGTGTCTCCGATGATGACATTATTACTTCAGAGTATACAAATGTAATATTTAAAAAAATCTAAAGGTCATGCTACTCTCCAATATGTATTTGATCATACAGTACATGAATCAGTGAGGAGCAGCGGATGAAATCATCCCCGCTCCCACATTATTTCATTTCTTTCATCTTGGTTTTTCCCTTTGTTTCTTAATTTAAATGAATCAAAACGTTTGTACCGTTTCCTCTGTGAGAACATAAACCCCGGTTGGAGGAATGCATATACATGGAAAAACCTGAGTCGGTCGTGCAGAATGACTCATTTCACAGGACAAGGGTTTGTGGGGCAAAATAAAAATGAAACAGATGGGCTTGGAGAAGCTTGTTGAGACGGTTTCCAAAAAGAGCTCGAGGATAAAGAAGCCGGCGTTTGAAGAAAAACTTGAGATAAACTTTCATAAAGCGTGGAGAGCTATTAATTAGGACTGCTTTAAATTAAAACCTATTCTTTGTAGGAGTGCATATCACCTGCCGCCTTTCATAACAGAGATTTAGACCAAAAAAAAAAAAAAAATTGTAGCTGTTTTAGTCAAACTTTGTAAATTATGATATTGTGAGATCTCACAAGATGTGTTTGTGTGTAGTGTGTGTGGTGTTGAGGAATACACTCCGCTTCAGTCACACCAAAATTCACCTCCCTATGTGTAAAACTGGGTCATGACCATTTTTGTTTTAACTGTCAATTAGCTGTGGTGGCCATTTTGAATTGGACTGGCTCCAAACAATAATCAGATGTAAACAATGTCTATGCGATACGTGGGTATACAGAGTATACCCACTAGAAAAACTTGGGAAATTTCAGTATACCCACTTAAAAGTACCCAATGACACGAGCCCATGTCACGTATCATTGGCAGTGGTACATGACATGGGCTCATGTCATTGTCAACACATATGGAACATTTTATAGACCCATTGAGTTGGTTCAACCTGTTTTTTTGTATAATTGATACTTTTTTGTGTAATTAATACTTCTGTACTTACTACTTAATACTTGTTTTGCTTTGTTACTGTTTTATAAATTCTACATTATGTTTTTAATACAAAGACAACTGTTGTAAAAAGTTTGTTGTTCATTTATTCAAATAAAAGCATCAGAGAAATTTTGAAATGTTCAATATGCTTAAATATCTAAATAAATTAACGATTACATTGTACTAACTGGTGTACTTTGGTTTCTAAGCGCAGTATGTCCACTACAAAAATGTGGACTACACCACTGAAAACGTATATCCACTGATTTCCTGATGTGTGCTCAATAATCCAGGTAGAAAAACAAAGTTAAGGCAGATCCTCTGGACGGATGCAAAAAGTAAAACAAAAAATGTTGAAACGTCTCATTTTTAATCCAAAAGATTTTGTCGTTCTGATTAGCTGCACTAAACTCGGTGTTATAAAAAGCCCCTTCTCATAATGGATCAACCAGTTTGTTGTTGACATCCAGAACTAGCTGTTCACATGATAAAGGAGGACTCAACTGTCCCCGTCCCCTGACGAAGTCTTTTGGATTAAAGATGAAACGTTTCAACAATTTGTTTATTTATTTTTATTTAAAATGTTTGCATGCATCCAGACAACCTGACTGAACTTTGTTAGATATCCACTGATTGTTTCTTAACAGAAAAATAAAGATCCATCCATCGTTTCAGGAAACATTTTGCTAACAGACAGAGTTGGCACCAACACTTAAAACTATAATCATATATGGTTCATTTGCAGTTTCTTTAAATCTAAACTAGAAACACTGCATTTCCTGCAAAAATGCAGTGTGACTGCTTATTGCAGAAGAACTTGCTGAAAAACAGCTAAAATGTAGCTGAAATGAAAGAAATAGCCTAATTTAGCATAAGAAAGCAGAAGGAGCACATATTTGATTAATTGGATTTAAATAAGCAGAAATGAGCACAAAAATTAGGATAATGGCTAAAGAAAAAGTTAAAATTAACAAAGATGTCTAAAATGTAGCCGAAAAGGCAGAAAGAAGCTTAACCTATGAGAAGGAAGTGGAAAGAGCTGAAATGAGTTAAAAAATGTGGAATTACCTGAAAAAGCTAAAATTTGCATTTTAGGTAGTAGCTGAAATGGCAAAAAAAAAAGAAAAGAAAAGCTGAAACTAGCTGAAAAAAGCTGAAAGGAGCATAACAAGCTGAAATTAGTAAAAAGTAGTTAATTAGGCTGAAAGTAGCAGAAATTACCAAGAAAATTTGATTTTATCTGAAAACAGCTGAAATTAGCTAAAAATATTTATAAAAAGGTAGCTTGTTAGAACAAGCGTAAATGAGCTGAAGAAAACAGAAAGAACCCATTAGGCTGAAAGAAGCAGAAATTAGCACAAACATCTGAAAAGTAGCTAAGAAAGCAGGAGGAAGCTGAAATTACAAGAAGGAACTGGAGAGCACAGTTTTGCTGAAGTAGGCTGAAAAAGTTTTTATAAGTGCAACAAATGTGGAATTAGCTGAAAAAGCCTTAATTAGCATAAAACGGCTACATAGTAGCTGAAATGGTAGAAAAAGCTGAAGCTTGCAGAAATAAGTTGAAAGGAGCATAACAAGCTGAAATTAGCAGAAAGAAGTTAGAAGAAGCGCACAAATATTGTAGTTAGCAGAAAAAATGAGTAGCTCCGAGTCCATTTATTAGAAAAATCAAGGATTTGACTCCAGCAGCATCTTCCGTTGTTCATCATTTAAAGGTTTCAAGGTTTTAGAGTTTCCGTGAAGCTGTTTCTGGGCGCACCAAGTTTACATCTGCCTGCTTTTGTATTGTCCGACTCTCTCTGCTCTGAATGGATGAAACCCACATCAGCTTATAATTCTAGGTTAAGTGAACAAACATATGGGAAACGTGGCGGGTTCATTTGTTAAGGTACGAGAACAGAGGTTCAACAGAAAAGTCTTCCATAACATGCATTAAAAGTTAAAACCTACAGATATTTCACCTTCAACTTGTTTAAAACATGCTGGTTTTATTGAGTGAATAAAACCGACAAGCATGGATGACAAACTTAACACTTTTTTTTTTTTTGCACACTTTAATTGTCAGAAAATCAAACAATCATAACGTTGTGGGTGAATGGGTGAAAATGTCAGGATACATCAGACTACAGTAAGTTATACAGTAAGTGCACACGAGTTAGAACTTGATCAGATTAAGACAATCATTATCATGCAGGCAGTTTTTAAATATGGATCACACAGCACCAAGCAAACTGTTAAAGAAGGTCTCTCACTGGGCTGTGACTTGTTGGCGAATGAGGGGGTCCCCGCAGTGTTTTGCTGCGGTTCTCAGTTTTCTCATGCAGAAGTGCATTTTGTGTGTCCAGCTCAAGAGCACAAGCTGCACAGGAGCTCTCCTCTGACATGTCCACGGCTCAGAACCACACTGAAGATGAATAACTATTGAAAAACGGGCCCATATCTGCCCGTCATTTCAAATTCAGCAGATTCCATTTATCTATTTCACATATCAAATCTTACAGTTATTCATTAATGCACAGACACAGATTCTTTTAATCAGGTTTGTAAGGTGTTTTATGTTTTGGCTCTATAAGTCAGAAACCCTTTTACACCAAAATTAATATACATGTTTTCACACTAAAATATTGTGTTTACATTATCACTGAGAGTTTGAAAACAAAAATCACAAATAAATGATTGACACATTGTTCATTCAGGGGCTTTGGATGTTATCAGCCCATTAAAGGAGCTTTATTAGTTGTTTATCATCCATATAGGTTGTGCTCAGACTGTTCCTTTTGCCTCCTAGTAGTTTTAAAGGTACGTTATCACTGATAATATGCAGCTTTGCATGCATGTAAAACCGGAAGTTTTTTTTTGTTAGCTGTATTTAACCCTTTTCCTAAACCTAACCCTTTTTCTAAACCTAACCTTACACCTGACCCAGAGCACTGACCCTAAACTTAACCTCTTACCCTTGAGTCTTAATCTAGCCCCCAGACCCTAAACCTAACCCCAAGACCCTTTACTCTTAACCTAGCCATGTAACTATTATCAGCCCTAACAACGTACCTTTAAACCTAATAGGAGGTACAGGAGGGGCAGTCTGAATGCAACGTATGAGGATTAGGATAACTAATAATGGACCGTTTAATTGGTGATAACATTCGAAGCAGGTGTCAAAAATTCCATTTATGGCCCATTAGTACTTTCAACCTGATAATTTTGGTTTCTGTGTCACAGAATGTGGACACCACTGATCTAAGATAACCTTGATAGATAGATAAAATTGTAAATGTGGAGGCAGGAGCCAAAGTCTTAAAAAAAAAAAAGCGATCCGAAGAAAATACAATGACAATAAATTAATGCGTGTTGCCTAGAAAGCTGTTTGCAAGCCATGCGTAAGGCCATAATTTTCAAAAACTGGCTTTTCAATACAGCTAAACGGCTTGATGGTCGCTTATTTGCAAAAAACTCAGAGTTAGTGAGACTGCAGCAGAAGATATGTCTGTTTTCTTGTCATTTTGAGTCACCAGCTAGTCTCCCAACAGTTACAACCTAGTGAGATACCGCCTTTAAGCACATAAATGAAGTTAAACAAATGGTTCTCTAGGCTAGAACTCAGGGTGGCAGAACTCCAAACTGAGGATGGGATGAAGGGTTCTCAGACTACGAGGTCAGTCATTACTTACTGTAATCTGTGATGGCCTTTGGACCGGAGTGGAGGTGGGCTTAATCGTGATGCTACTTGTGATTTTGCTGTTGCCTTTGACAGCAGGAGTACTGCAGTTGGCAACAATCTGAGTCCTTTGCTCCTGGAGTCTGGGCACGTGGCATGGACTCCGCGTCTGAGATGGGGAGCTAACGCTCTGAACAAATGGGCTTCCTAAGTGGATGTGGATTTTGTTGTCCTCTGTCGTTATGACATTCGGACCTGAGCTGTTGGACCTCTGGACCTGCCAGTTGTTCTGCCTCTCTGGGGTCACGCAGAAGATGGCGTGCCCACCAACAACCTCCACTGGCTCCGTGGAAAGGGAGCGCTCAGGGGTGCCTGTTGTCACTGAAACAATCTGTATGGGTGACATGGCTCGGTCTGGTGTTACAGAACCACACGAGTCTGGGGTCATAGCTCTGGAGTATGTAGTCATAGTGAATGGTGACAGGGCCCTGTCTGGTGAACATGGCTCATCTAACATGGGGGAACACTTGGGTTTAGCTGTTGGGGAAACTGATTTTGCATTTGGAGATATGGAAGCATTCTGGATGATGGTGATTCTCTGCTTTGGCGGACCTCCACTTGTGGGTATGACGGCGGTGCTGGTGAACGATTGGGGGGTTTCTGTGGTCGGACTGGTGATCTCTAATGTTGCAGTGTTGTGACCATGGTCCGGAGTCACTTTAATGTGTAAAGGCTGCCCAGGATGGTGGGTCAACACAACGTCTCCTGGCTGTGCATGGTTGCTGTTGTGTCCCGGTTGCATTTTGCCATTCACCTGATGAAGCGGACCATCTTTGCTTTTAAGGAATGGGCTTCTCACTCGTTTCAAGTTATTGTTTAGATTGTTGACATTATTAATGACGGAAGGGCCACATTTGGTGAGCTGTAGCTCATTGCTGTAATTTGCGTTATCTTCAGGTTCGCTTTCATTGTACAGCTTCCCGTTCACCACTGCTCGCTCCAGCGGCATCACAGTCTTCTCGCTGGGAGACATAAGATCAAGGGGTTCAGTCTGAACCTCCTTGGTGGACAAGTGTAGGTCTGAAAAGCGCCTTCCGTTCATGCCAGGGCGAAGACTTTTGCTGAAACGTCTGTATCTTTCAAGCTCCCGAGTGAGCGTCTCCATTTCTCTGGCTAGTTCTTTGTTTCTGACCTCCTGCTGGGTGAGTTTTCTTTGCAGCGTTGAATGGTCTGTCTTCATGCGACAGATGGACTCCTCTGTTCCCATGTATTCATGAATCTTGTCTTTGAGAGCTGCCACTTCTCTGCTCAAATGACTCGACTTGGCTTCCTCCTCCTTCAAGCGTTTGTAAAGAACGTGCTCTTGGTTGCACTCTTTCTTCTCGGCCAGTTGGTACTTTGAAAGCTCTTTTCTTGATATTTCCAGTTCCTCCATCAAGGCTTTTGCTTTCTCTTGTTCGTTGTTGAATCTTTTCTCTAGAGATTCAAAATTCTGTGTTTTTAATAAATCGCCTTCCACCACTTTCATGTCCTTTAATTTTTGCCTCAGGTTCTCGACCTCCTGTGTCAAGTCTTTGACTTTGTTGTCTTCTTGTTGGAAGCGATTGATGGGTGGTGTTTTGATGTGCTCTTCTTTGCTTTTGTTTCTCAGGTATTCTCTCTCAATTGACTCAAGCGATTGCAATCGTTTCTTCATCATGTTCAGCTTTGATTCCAAGTCGTTGTTCTTCTCCTGCTCTGTTCCTAACTTGGCCTTCAAGTCATCCCTTTCCTTTGTTGCACTGCACATTTTTTCTTCAAGCTCTGCTTTTGATCTCAGTGCTTTCTTGCTCTCCTCTATTAGCTTCTCTGTGACAGATGTGACTTTGTCCTGTTCTGCCTGAAGTTTGCCGGTACTGTTCTGCACCTTGTTCTCCATTTGTTTTAGCTTCTCTGCCATTGCTTTCCTTTCGTCCACTAGCATGACAGTCAGCGTCTTTAACTTGGACAGATCTTCCTTCAGCGTCTGCTCAGTCTTTCCCAGTTGGCACTCTGCTTCCTCCAGTTCTTTGACTCTGTCTTTTAGGTCTTCCAGCTCACTGCTCAGAACCTTTGACATGTTTCTTTCTCTCTCCAAGTTGCTTTTGAGTGAGATGCATTCCTGTTTGCCCTTGCTGAATGCATCCTCCAGTTTTTCCAAATCTGTAATTCTCTGATTCAGTTGATCCACTTCAGCTTTCAAGCACCGGCTCTGGTTGGTCTCCTTCTCCAGTTTCTTGTGGAGATCTCTGCAGTGGTCCTCCATTCGTATCAACTCTTCGTCCTTTCCCTCCATCTCGAGCACCCGCTTCCTCAGCTCTTCAAGCTCCAACATGAGGCCAGAGTTTCCACACTCTCCTCTACTTATTTTGTCCCTCAGCTCCTGTAGTTCATCCTCGGCTCTGCGCAGTGTCTTGTTGTTCTCTTCCAGCTCATCCAGCTGTCGGCTGAGGGCAGACAGCTTCTGGCGCAGCTGCCGGTTCTGAGCATCCTCGCTGCTTAGTTTGGCAGTCATGGCCTCTTGTTCCTGATGGTTTCGACTGGCTTGGTCACGCAGCTCTGCCTCCAGGCGACAGACTTTTTGTTCCTCTTCCTGCAGACAAGCATTAGCTGAGCTCAGTTCTTCCTGAGCTTGTGACAAGCTGGTGCTCAGTTCTTGGACCTTTGCTGTTTTTTGGTTCAGCTGTTCAGTAAGACGTTGCTGTTCATCCACCACCATCAACGCAAACGACTTGAGTTTTGTCAGCTCCTCTTTTAGACTGAAGATTTTTTTGTTATACTCTTCCTCTTTTCGTTCTTGGTAGACCTTTTCCTGATCTATCAGCAGCTTTAACCTGCAAAAACAAAGAAGAAAAAGTGAAAAATGACCTTTAAGCAGCTCATTTCAGGATTTGTTTGCATGTGAAAACATCATATGTAGTCATATTTGTGTTGGCTAATGTCTATTTGCTGGCGGCCATCATGAATAGAGTTGACTCCAAAAGTTGTAAATGTACATTCAATAGCTACTTTATTAAAGGATCGTTCAAATCAGTCCAAAAGTGTAGGAGATATTTTGCTAACACAAATATATTTGACTCCAGAAGTTAATGCCAAGGTTTTAGGCACAAATAATATGCATTGTGTTGCATTTAAAGTTTGTGTTAGGGGTAATGCTTATACTAACACACCAAATTTTAGCTTAGTGTCTATATAATTGGCTAAGCTGTAGCCATTTGTTTTTTTTTTCTAATGCTCAGTGGCTGTGGCAGCCATTTTGAATTAGGTTGTTTCCAAAATTAAATCAGTTGTATATGTGTACCTAGGGATTACTTTCTGAACGTTACAGTAGAATTCAGGGATTCCCAACCCTCTTCCTTGAGGAACACCATCCTGCATGTTTTAGTTGTTTCTCTGCTCCGACACACCTGAGTTTAATTAATGGGCTATTGATAGGCTTCTGCAGGACATGAGCAAGTAATTAAATCACTGAACCAAGTGTGCTGGAGTAGGGAAACAATTAAAACATGCAGGATGGTGTTCCTTAAGGACCAAGGTTGGGAACCACTACAGTAGATGCTATATAATATTTGCTAATGGTACAAACAGATGGCACACACTTATAAATTTCAACCCTTTCTAAATTATTATTCATCTTACTTCCGCCTAATGCCCAAATAAGCATTAAACAAAATGTAGAAAATTCCCAGTTTTCTTTATTGACCTATAATAAAAATACAAGAAATTCTGCATTTCCCCCACTCTGATTCCCCGTAAGACCCACTCCTTCAAGCATCGGCACATCATAAACACTGTTATTTTCTCCACATTGCTCAGGAGGACTTAAGTTTTTATGTCACGGAAAATTTAACACTTCATAAAGAGTCTGAATGTTAGGGGTCATAGTAGTCTGAAATACTTGTGGTTCTATTTTTCCATTTGTTGCCAACCAAATCTCTTGTGGGTTTGAGACCTGAGTTATGGCTGTGAAGTGCAACAAACAGTGAGTTTTAGAAAGTTTCCAGGGCAAAGCACGAGGCTCTCTGGTGAAAAGGAAACCTGAGAGATGAAATGTTGATCATCTCACCACAAATGCTAACTTAAAATGAGAAAAAAGGAGGTTTCTGACCAGTATATAATCACAAACTGTTTACTGGAATAGATTCTGTTCCTGTGAACACCAAGACTGATCAAGAGAGAAAAAACAAACTTGTCTAAGATTAAGTCCAAATTTAAATAACAGGAATTCTTAAGGAGTTTTAAATTGGTTCATTCAGGAAGAACACAAATTTCTCCATCAGTACAGAGAACTAATGTTCAGAAAGTTGCATAATGTTTTCACTGTGTTCTCAAAGTCTGTGTCGGCTTGATTAAGACATACCAAGAAATCAGACTACAAATTGTCCAACATTTATTTCAGTGGCAGATTTAACCTCATATTTCTGTATAATGTGTGCCACCTGATGCTGTGTGTAACCCGGGTCAGGGCGTCTGCCTGGTCCCCGCCGGGAGGCAACTGCCAGGATTTTCCACCCATATGGCCCACTGGAATGGAACGATCCTCTAATGAAGGGGTTTCTCTACTTCCAGCCTTCCTCCTTACTAAAACCACCACTACTCTGCTTTTTTATTCATTTAAAGGAATTCCCCCTTCTAACAAAGACTATACAGTCCCTCTGAGTTTATAAAGAAATCTCCCCCCCCCCCCACCCCCCTCATACAAACTCTGAGGGACCACTAATCACACTGTGTGGTTGTGGAACATGATGTTAGTGCTGTGCAACAGGGTGGGTCACTTCAGAGCACTACAGTGTCATTTCTCTTTTTATTACCTGCCCTTAGGGACACAATAATTAGATCCATGCGCTGCTAATAGAGCAATGATTTATACCAGCCGTTCATGAACTACGTTTTTAGACTAAACTGATGATGCGGCATCAGAGATTTTAGCTGCTTAACCTGCTTGGTTAGCGCTTTGTAACCAGGAATGCTGAATGTGTGAGCAGGTTGGCTTCTAATGCAGGGCTATTCAACTGGCAGCCAGTTAGGGTGAGGGTTACTCACTTCCAGCCAGCAGGTGACTTAAGTCCAGCCCACCAATGAGTTCATAAAAAAAAAATCCTGCCTAATAATGCAGCACCTATTATTATCCACCTGACAAAGGTTTCTTAACTTTATATCTTACTCTTCCGTCAACTTTAATGTGGAACAAACCACAATGTGTACCCCACAAATGTTATATCAAAACAAGCTCGGCACCGTGATATGTGCTATTACTTTTATTGCCGTTTCGAGTTACCAAGACGACGTAATGTACAAAGATGCCCTTTTTCTCATTCAAAATGCCTTACAGAACTCTAAAATGGCCGTCACGCAGTGGTCCCATCAAAGTTTCTCCAGGAACTTTATAGTTGCATTTGTGATTCAATGCAATAAAACAAACAAATTTAAAAGGTAACAGATCATTGTAATAACAACAAAAAAGGTTGAATCATGTCATCTGGACTTCGTTTTCTTGTTAAAAAGAAACGTTTCGCCCCTCATCCAAGAGGCTTCGTCAGTCTGAGGCCTAGCCATCTGGTATTACCCAGAAGCCACCCTGACTCTTGTGTTTCAAGCCTGCCTCAGGGGTATCTGAGGCAGGCTTGAAACACAAGAGTCAGGGTG